AAATGGGCAGATGAGAACCTGATGGTGTTTAACACTGAAAAATGCAAGGTTCTCCACCTTGAGAGGAAAAACCTGCAGCATCCTTATAGGTTCGGCAGTGCTATGCTGGCTAGCACTAGGGATGAAAGGGACTTGGGGGTCATGACTGACCACAAGATGAACATGAGCCATAGATGCTTCTCAAACAAATCCTGGGATGTCATTCTCTCCCTGTACTTGGCCTTGGTGAGGCCGCAGCTGGAGTACTGCATCCAGTTTTGGGCTCCACAATTCAAAAAGGATGTGGGGAAGCTTGAGAAAGTCCAGAGAAGAGCCACGCGCGTGATCAGAGGTCAGGAAAACAGACTTTAGGACAACAGGCTGAGAGCCATGGGGCTCTTTAGCCTGGAAAAGCGCAGGCTCAGGGGTGATCTGATGGCCACCTATAAGTTTATCGGGGTGACCACCAGGATCTGGGGGAACGTTTGTTCACCAGAGCTCCCCAAAGGATGAAGAGGTCGAACGGTCATAAACTACTGCAAGACTGTTTCAGGCTGAACATAAGGAAGAATTTCTTTACTGTTTGAGCCCCCAAGGTCTGGAACAGCCCACTATCGGAGGTGGTTCAAGCACCTACATTGAACACCTTCAAGAGTAAATTGGATGCTTATCTTGCTGGGATCCTATGACCCCAGCTGACTTCCTGCCCCTCGGGCAGGGGGCTGGATTCGATGATTTTCCAAGGTCCCTTCCAGCCCTAATGTCCATGAAATCTATGAAACCTGATTAAAAAATTCTGGTATTTCTAACAAGATTAACCTATTTATTATAAATTATGGGAAACAATTTTCAGAAAACAAAGACAGTCCACTTTTTAAGTTTTTACAACAAATGAGCAAGTGGATACAACTGTTTTACCTACCAGTGAAGATTCAGACCAATATACTGAAAATCCTCTCCTCATTATCATCATGATAAAGAGAAGAAAAAAAAAACAGTGACTGTTAAGAAGAAGCAGAGCAAAAGGATAGATTAAAGGACGCAACATAAAATAATAGTCCAAAACAAATTGCCCTCTCACCCTGGATGATCCAGCAGAGCTACCACGCTTAAGGCGACTTTTACTCTTCCAAACACTGCATTACATACTATACCAAAATACAGCCTAATGAAATTAACCAAGATAATTATATTCACTTATTTTTCAGACATTCATAAGTAACAGCTAGAGAAGTGATAATATATAACACGAGAAAGCTCAATTCAAATATTTACATTATTTAAAAGTTACTTTGACTAATAACCAGACTATTTTAAGACATACCATTTTTTAAAGATGGGTGGTTTGACTGTTGACTTTTCCCATGTTTATCCTTCTTAGAATTCTTTGAATCTAAAGAGAAAAATAAGATGTCACATAACAAATTTATCATTTACATTACAAAAAAATCCAGGGTAACAATAAGACTTGATATGAAACACATTCAAACATAGCAAAATATGAAGTTCTTGAGACTTAAGTATGCATATCTGACTGTACATTTCAGTCTGCAATCAAAGATTAAATTTTATTAGACTTATAATTTATAATAGGAGTAGTGTTAAAATAAAGGTACAATATGGAAAATCATGCAATGCTCATTACTTTACTGCATTATTAATAAATCCACAAAACCCCACTAAAAATAACTTCCCTTGGCTGCACAAAAAACTGCCCTACCTTTATTTTCAACACTCTTTATTTTTGCTAAATAAATAGAATTATCAGTCAAAGGATCTTGGACCTCTGAGCCAAGATTTGCAAACACAATGCCCAATTTGAAACACCTGAAAAGGTTCTGCTCACACATTGCTGTATTCTGACTGCCTAACAATCAAGCTCCTTTCAGGTTTCTAACATTGGCCACACAAAAATTAAGGCTACCCAGATCTCCAGTTGAGTGGATAGTTGAGATAGTAGTTGAGAATCTTGGCCCCAGTCCCTATAAATTTGGTAGGGTTGGGGCGGACACATTACCAATGTATTTTTTAATTAAGGTTCCTACTGTGTCATTAATTCATTGAGTGGAGGTCTACGTAAACATCGCACCACTCCAATTATAAAATTAATCAGGAAAAGAACTCTAGAACATGACTGTGCCCCTACTGTTTCTGTATCTTGCTCTTACCACCACTGATTGAAGCATATAGTAAAACTTATAGGCCAAGTACAGCTAGTCAAAAAGCCCGAAGCTGAGTTGATTCAATCTCTGCAAGTTAGCCTAAACTGTGTAAACTGAACCAATAAGCAAGTAAACAGACATTCACTTTTGATTCTGGAAATGCAGCCACATGCCTGCAGTGCCTCAGGCCAGAAGCTGGAAGGTGCTCGAGCACACACCGCTGTTTGGCTGAAGCAGACAGCTTGGGCCAAAACTAGCCCACCCACCTGGGATCCTGAGGGGACTGTGAGTCAACTTGAACATATGGACGGGATCTGGGACAAAAGTTCAGTAAAACCAATTTAAATCTAAATCAGTTAAGTCTGATACTATATCCATCCAGGTTCATCTTGAATCGGTTTCAGCCATTCTGAAAGTAGTTTACGTGCACTGAACTTGTGTTATGTTACAGATTTGAACTAGTTTCTGATCACTTCCACCAGTTGACATGTAATTCCTGTCCCTAGCTGTATGTTTCACACAACTCTCATCAGTCTCACAAGGACAATCTTCATGCATGAATAACAAATAAGGAGCAAAAAGGTTTTAGGTCTTGACCTCAATGCAGAGCTAATCCTAATTACAACCACTGCATTTTCCCTGGCTAAAGTTCCAACTACATGCAAAGAAAACCCTTAACTAAAATTACTTGGCCAGTCAAGGGGTATAAGTTAGATGTCAAGTAAGCAGAATTCATCAACTGCCAATACAACCATTCTCTGCAGTGAGGCATTATTTCAGGGTTATCATTTTCATTTAAGTTTGGCAAACCTAAGGACCAAATCCTGCTGTGAAGGCATACCCACAAGAAAGATGACCTCCCCATAACTGATCTCATTCACATCTTTGACACGTTAGCAAAGTTTAAGCAATCTTTGGGCTGCTGAGCACTGAATTCTCTCTTTCAAGTTAAGACTGTATTTAAGTTTCAGTTGCCAGTTCAGTACCAAATGTGGCTATTTTTGACAGACTGATACCTCATCTGGAAACTAAAATTCATGTAATACACCTTGTGTCACAGAAGCAAGTAGTAGAACTGAGACTATTTTCACCAATGTTCAGAATTCTCAGCTGGCAGAGAATTTGACAGATTGATACTTTTAGATGTGGGTGAAATTGAGTAATTGAGAATGGAGACAAAAACATGAGCGAGTGCACTGTTGTTCCAGGGCAAAGGGCAGCAGCACTGGTTACTCTTCATCTTGTATAGCAGACTTCTTGTTTAGTTTTTCAAGTAATGAAATTGACATATTAATTACTTAGGACTAAATCTAATGAATTTCAAACCTTAGTCCCTTTATTTTGTTAGTAATAATACATATTTAAACTCAGCATTAGTTCATTCACATCAATGACAGTCTTGATATTTCACACAGCTAGAACAGCAAATAGCCATTGCAATTAAAGTTTTCAAAAATATAATAACGACATTATAAAAAGCACTGCTGGGCTCGCCCCCCCGTTCCATCTGCTCAGTTGCCCCTGCTTCCAGGGAGCAGGGCTGGGAGGGGTGAGGCCAGCTGCGTTGGCCTTGACCCCACTCCATCCCCTGTGTCCACACCATCATGGCAGCGCTCCACCAGTCACCAGCACCTGTTGGAACACTTGTTCACACTCTGATTGGCTGTCAGCCAAATCAGAACACGAATAAAGTGTTATGGACAGACAGACACAGACTTAGGCTTTTATAATATTAGAATGGTTGTTTAGAGCTATGACAAATTCATGGTCTACTGGCCTGAATTCACGACAGAAAACCAAGTATTATAGCCATGCCAAATGTTTTAGCACTGTGGGTTTCTGTTGTATTGGCTTCAGGAGAATTTTCCCTCTCCCTTTTCAGTCATTTTTCTATTGTCTTATCAATGATAAGTAACTGATGTCTAAACAAGAATGGCAAGGCATATGCATACAATACCAACTCCAAGGAAGATGACCGCTGTAGATTTCACTAAGATCTCATGATGGCAAACCTGAAGTGATGCATCTGTGACTAAATTCTGTGACCTGAATTAACTTCTACAAATGCCGTACATTTGCTAGCTCTGCTTTCTAATTTAACAGCATCATTCTGCCCAAAAGCCCTAGTAAGTTAAAGGCAGCTCTAGAAGAGATGGTTACAAAACCAGCTGGCAAAGGTAACACAGGAACAGATATGACAGCAAGTGTTCAGCTTCAAAGCTAAGCCATTGGTTTATAGAATAGCTGTTTAACTGGTGGCCCATGAAGGGTTAACTTTCAGTCCCCAAGCTACCACCTGGCAATCACTTGTCCCTATCCAGCTGCAGCAGCAGTTGGTCTCAGGACTCCCTCTCCTTCCTCTGGCTTGTGCTGCATGCTCCCACTCTGGGGGCGTGGAGCAGCCCGAAGCACTCATGCAGTACAATGCCATGGGGGAGCCCACAGGGAGTTGAAGGTAAGGCACGGTACCACAACATGCCAAGGAGTGTCTGCCCATGTGTAAACATGGTAAAACAGTGTGGTGGAGCCCATAAGGTGCATGGCCACCAACTACTCTGGAATTGGACAGCTCCAATTTAAAGAATCTATATAGCTGGTTCCATCTAGGCTAGCGTATTTCATTTTTCCTTAAATTAACCTTGAAATAAGGGAGGCATAGGAATTCACAGACCTAGCAAAAGGAGACAGACTTTGGACAAGTTAGAAAAGGATACTCTTGTATAGAAAATGACAGGCTGTGATAGCACATCCCATCCCTCTCAAATCAGAAATGGGGAGTAATGTGGACCCTCCTAAACTACAGACAGAGAAGGTGAGCTTAAGTACAGGAAGATGTATGCAGGTTTCTTTGGGTTTGTTTTTTTTTAATCCAGTTCTTTAAGTGCTGGGCCCCTTTGTGAAATTTTGAAATAAATAAAACTTCCCAAGCAGCTTAACCAGAGGCATACCAGGGCAGGTACAGGCCCGGGACAGTTGCCAACACATAGCATTTACCATGCAGATTGATGCAGTGCAGTAAGCTGCCACTCCCATGGCAGCTGCTTTTGTGCAACCCCACAAAGACAATATTCAGCACCGCTGCCCCAGTCACCCACTCCCAGTTACAATACTGAGCTTACCTACTTCTTAAAATTTGACCACTGCTTCCTAAGAGGAAACAATGTTTTGAAAAAAATGAACTTATGGTGAACAACTCCACCTATCATTTGCTGGTCACCAAGTCAAGCCAGCTCTTCTCTGTTGACCAGATCAAGGACAAATGACAAAAATCAGTCTGAACACAAGATCTGTCTCCATTTCAGAAGAGGAAGAGGAAAATCCGTTTAGTTGTTATGTCTAAAGCCAAAATGAACAATAATCCCAGAAATGAGAAAAATGTAGGCGTCACTGAGGTTGGTTCAATTCAACACTCTCAGCGTAAGGAAGCAAGAACAGGTAAGAATGGTCATAAAGAGAGATTGCTTCCTGAACAGGAGTCTAAGGACATCACTTGTTTCAGAAGGTTAAACAGCTTTCCCAGCAACAATATACTCAAAGCATCTCTACTTATTTTTGATTGACCAGTTACTCTTGCACATTACCCAAAATATTCAGAATATCTATCACTATGTATGACTGAACTCAGGAAAAAGAGGGCCCTTTTACTCTTCTCACTCAAACCATCGGTGTCAGGGAAGCTGCTATAGAATTGAACTATTTTAGTTAAGTAGATGCAAACCATTAACATGAAGAATTACTTACCTGACTGTCTTCAAGTGAGACAGTCTGCATCCACCATACTTCCCACCACTCAGAAAAGTTTCCCCCTGTCTACACTTTACAGATGCTATGGTGTCTTGGTCTGGCGTGCCTCTCCCCATGTCTGCAGCCAGGGTAGATAAAAATTGACGATTTAAAAAAATATTTTAAAAATCTGATTTTAAATTGAAATCAGATTGTTTTGATTTATATCAACCACACTTTTTCTGTTTTAAAAATAAGTCTATTTAAAATTAAGTTTAAAATTATGACAGCCTATGCAACTGTAAACTCACTATAACTTGAAATTATTTCAATAAAAATGTTAATCAATATATGGTAGTTGCCAAAGTTTTCAGAAAGATAAACCAGTTCATCTATACATGTGCCTGTGTGTGTATGTGTTGGGTTAGGGGGGTGGCACTTTAATTACAGCAGCTCTGAGAGCATTGCCTGTATTCAGCCTCCTGTGCTTCAAAATGCCATGGGAACACTGAACACACATGACACGGAAGCTGCTGGAGCATGTTAACTAACAATCCTAATTACCACACATTGGAGCAGATATCTAGTACATGTATAGGTGCCCATACTTTGCTGACATTTTAAATCAGCTTTTCATAACAATAGTTTCTTCTGCACACATGGAAAAAAAAGTTTTCTTCATTTCAATGAATTCAATTCAGTCAATTACTTATATCTTCAAAGTTGAGAAGCTAACTAGAAGTTGAAAAAAAAAAAAAACCAGAAGAGCTTGGCTCCCACTTCCAATTTATGAATGAAAGCTAGGCACACTCAGAGAAGTCCTATTGATTTTAAAACTCTGAAGTAAGTGACCCAAAATAAATCATTTACATGTATTAACCACAGAACATACTTTTGTCTAACAATATCATGCAAAAATGTTTTGCTGAACTTCTTTTTCCTATGTATCCACTAAATTTAAAATAACTCTGTTTAAATTTTTTTTAAAAATTAAAACGATGTTTTGGTGCATTTTTATACTTCAGTTCTCCTCCAAGCAGAAATTGGTACAACCACAATTTTAAAAAGTAATAATCACCTGAGCAAAAGAATGTTTCATTCACCATTATAAAAGGAAATTAAGAATCTGAATAGATATATGTTAAACAATATGAATTACTTAATAAATGTTCAAAGATATAGTTTCCTTCTAATTAGCAAAAAAAGTAGTGTCACATTTACAGTAAATGCTATATTTAAATATAAATCAATGTTTTAACCATTGCCAACTA